ATCTGAAAAATTAAACTGTGCAACTTCCACTACTGTGATGACAAAAGTGTCATAAATGCAAGATGCAGTAGTGGTAATGATATTTCTGAACTTTGAGCAAATATTATTCTCTAAGTCTGTAAAGAAAAAAATTATCTCACGGCTACACAGAAGGGTATTCGTTTGTGCCAGCTTTCTGTTTGAGTGGTTGACTGTCTCTTGGCAACCTGCCGTCTAATAATTTATTTGCATGTCCATGGGGCATTCGGTTGGAGGAGGGACATATGTTAGTGCAAGTGCAGAGCTTGTCTCAATGCTTGATGCCAGTGGCATGGAACAGAGGCTCTCAAAGGGTCTTGCACGTCTGTGCTATCTAACCAGTCACAGAATTCAGACTCTTTGTCCTTATTTCTGTCTGCTGGGCCTCAGAGCTAGAATTAACACAACATGAAGCATTTCTCAAATTTGTGTTTAAGGAAGCTGCTAGATAGCGTTTGTTGTTGCTTTAGTTGCTGCAGGAATTTTTTGTATGTAACATGAAATCAGAGTTTAGATAGTTCAGGAGAAAAAGTCCGTATTCAGAGATGAGCCACACTGTGGAGAAATTTAAGAAGTGCAAACACTTTAGAAGCAACTGTAGAGAGAATATAGTACCTAGTGGTCCTTATGGTTTGTATTCTGTTGAAGCCATGAGATGTACTGTTTCCTGCCTTCAAAAATTTGTTTCACTTCCCTTTAAAAAGAGTAACTATGCTACCTGGAGTTTTCATCAAGCAGAGTGAATCATAGGAATGATGAGTAAGGATAAATCCCCAAAAAGAGATTGCCATGTAAACAAGGCCACCTTAGTTTGCCTCCAGGCAAGTACCTAATATCTTCTACGGGACCTGTGCCTGTGCTGTTGTTAATGGTTCACTGTACTGCTTTGGTTGAAGCAAGCTGCCTGCTCTTTTGGGCTCATTGACCTATTAGCTGCACTGATATTTCTGGTGCAGTTAGGCAGAGGCAAACTGTGTGACAGACATGCCTTCTGGCTGTTTTAAGAACTTCCTATCACTTACAATGTAGGGGGTGTGGGATGAGTTGTTTGCTACAGCCAAGGAGTCAATGTATATACAACACAGGTCACTTGACTGAAGGCTGGCCGTTGGACACTATGCACTGATGCACAGGGATCACTCCCTGCTTTAGCCTTGCCACACTTCAGATACTGAAGCATCCCCAATATGAAGTAAGTGGTAAATGGAAGATTCACTGGTCTGCTTCAAGGCGGGGAAGGGGGGAGGTGGGGAGCCCACATAGAGACAATGTACCATCTACAGCTGGCAGAACCCAACCCTGCAGGGACCTCTGATTTGGATACATGCAGCAGAGTTTTAGAAGCTGACAGGGAACCACTTTTGTAGGAATGCATCAGTCACAGAGCACACATGGAACAGGAGGCGAGGCACCAGGATTTCCAGTGCTAAGTCGCTTTGTGCCCAGGCGGAAGGAAATGGTGGAAGGAGGAAGCATCTCTTTCTTGCTGTTGCCTCCGTATCCCAAGTGGCAAGGAGGAAGCGGCCATTGGGATTGCATATCTGTATAGCATGGTCCCAAACATAATTCTGGTCTGGACTAGAGCCCACCGTTTAGAAAAACATCTCCTGCTGATTAAAACATTCCTGTGGTGGATTCATGACCAGCATTCTTGGTACATGGTTCCAGTAATTAATTACCCTGACTGCAAAAAATGCCTGCCTTGTTTGTAGACTGGAGCCTGGGTGCAGGCACAAGATCTGTGTCTCAGAGAGCAGAGTCAGAGAAGAATGCCATCTGGGCAGTATTTGGTCTACTTCCTCTCATATTCGGTGCTAGTTTGTACATACCTTTTCTGCAACATCTTCTGTTTTCAGGGTTTGTTAGCTGGCCTGCATGAACCTCACAGCATCAGAGCATGTGATTATCCCCTGACATTGAAGGTCAAGGTTATGGAAGTGCCAAGAAAAACAAATGACTGCCCTGCCGAGTGCATACCACATTTAGGAATACAGTCCTAAACCTGTCTGCCCTGACCTTTAACTTCTAGCCCGTGAATCCTCTTATACTTCATACCATCTTAACACTTTTTATTGTCCTTAACGTTTTATATCAGTGCGTTATGCACTGAGTGAAATAAATGCTAGTGAGGATGACAGTGAGCCCGCAGTCTGAACCACAGGAATCTCTTCAGCACACATGCCACTGAACCTGCATCCCTCACTTTAATTTGGCCTTCCAGACACACAGTAGCAGTAAGATTAGGGAAATGCAAAGTAAGCTCTAGGATAGCTTTGTGCATACACCTCTGATCTGTGTGGGCTGAGGACCTCTGTGTGTAATAAGCGGAAGATCAGCATTAACTAATGCCATGAAAAACTGTACAGCAGAAGGACATCAGAGGGTAAATGCCAAATGTAAACTCAGATGGAAATCATGAGACATAATTTAGACGTATCCTAGTTTGGTTAAGGCAGTGTACCTTTGAATGCATGATGAGGGTTGTTAATCTCTACGGATGAGAAAAGACAGAGAACTGTGATCACACCGATGACTTTCCATTAGCAGTTCTGTCAGTATTGGAAGAGTTTCTTTATACTGGAGCAGTTTCAGAAGAAATACAGGGAATCTCATTCAAAAATAGTCCAGTCTTGATTCTGGCCCTGAAGGACGGTGGATAACTTAGGGACAACTAGTGATTACCTTAGTCTCATTGATTTCAATACATCAGTCAGGCACGAAAAATTTTGCTGTTATCTGATGATCTCTGTTATAATATTTCATACTTCCATATACCTTTCATTCTGTATTTTTAATCCATGTGATGAAGTTTTCAAACAGAAGTGGATGTCATATAAGCTGAGTTCCTTGTTTTTTCCTTTTGCCTATCGCTGGCTGCATGTTCTCTATTGATGTCTTGTTCCTGGTACTTGACACTGACCATCTTATCTGTGAAAGGAAGCACTCCGGCTGGCTTGCCTGATAAGAAGAAAGGGAAGTTTGCTTGGTTTAGTCACTCCACAGAAACCCATGGTAATGTTCCACCACACTCTGTGTCCGCTGTGTGTAACTGTGTGTGTTTATGTATCTCTATACATACTTATGTATAATGTATCTTCATATACTTATGCATGTGCATGCCTTGCTTTTTCTGTTGCTCTTGCAGTGTCGTCTTCATGCACTCAAGATACTAAGCTCTTCTGTAAATCAATCTCTTGCTAATATCTTCAAAATCATTTTTCATTTGCAAACAAGCTCAAATATGTCTTGAAAGTGCTTTACCTCATCTTCGAAGATGACTTGCCAAGTATCAGGAGTTTTTTTCCTGAAGGGCTTAGACAGGAAATGTTAATCATAAATGTTGTTTTTTCATACAGCTTACCTTGTTCTTTCTTATGCATTAAAATATGAATTTAGCTGATTTCTTAATTTGTCTTTCCAAACAGATAAGCAAATTAAAACATCTACTCTTTGTAAAGCAACAGGCACCATTAGAATAGAGTATTTCATGGCTGTGTAGAGAGTGCAAGGGAGTCCATTTTTTCATGTGGTCCTACCAACACAATGCAAGAACTTTGAATTTCCAGAGAGGCGCTTTATAGGCGCTTGCATTGTTGGGATGGGACACAGGAAAGATAGTACCTTTTGGGGGGACATTTCTACAATGATGTTTCCAACGCAGGAGCACAGGACCTCTTTGGAAGGACTCTGATATCTTTCTAGCTTTTAAAAGAAGACCTGATCCCACGACCCATCAGACTTCTGTCCAATTGAAATGCAGAGCCTATTTATTCTCCATTGTTTCCTTTTGCACCAAGAATCCATAAATAGATATGCTCTTATTAATGAATAGTGTATTCTGACAAGCTATTAAAGGTGTCTCCAACAGCTAATAGCATGTGCTCTCAAGTCTCTTCTGAGATATATATCCAGCTGCTAGTGCATGTCACCTTCTGAAGTTCTACCAGGCATCTGAGAGATCTGCCTAACTCTTCTATTGTTCAGTTTGAAGTATCTTTTTCTTTTTT